GACGCTGCCTCGATACCTGTGCAGCGGTTGGCAAGGCTTAAAATAAAGTGTTCGTACGGTGTAATTCAGGCCTTTTTTTTCCTCTCCTTCTAGAGGCATTTCTTCAGGAACTTGGGATCGATCCTGGCGTACGCTTTTCTTGGCACTGCCATCTCCTGCCTGGCGATCGGGTGAGTGGGCTGAAGCCCGACCTGGCTCCTCAGCGCGGGTTTGAGCCCACCTCGGTGCGACGCTCTGAGCCCGGGAGCTGCCCACGCTAATCCCGGCCCCGAAAGACAAGACGGGCTTTCCGCCCCTGCTGCTCAGCGGGGCGAATAACGCTACTGCTTGTCCGAACTTTCACTCTGCGGGCAGGATGGATCGCGGTCTGATTCCGTAGTGTTTTTCCAGCATCTGATCTACACGGAAAGGAGAGTTTCACAGTTCTCTGTCCAGATTTTCTTGAAAAAATAGACACTAAGTTCACATTTTCAGAAGCGCAGCAGTAACGCGCACGGCGCCTGGGTAGAAGGCGGGGTCCCAGGATCGTAACCGCGTGTCCTGTCCTTACGGGCTGGAAGCGGACGCCTCGGGAGCGCGGTCGGAGGTTGCGTTCCCCACGATTTATCTGTCTGAGCAGAGGGAGTCGGACGATTCCCGTTCGGAAGAGTAACGTGCAGGCGTGCGTAGGGTGATTTCCGCTGGAGAGTCCGGGGGATTCGGGCGAGCTCAGCATCCGTGTTACCTGATCCCAACTGAAAGCTTTGGCCCTTTCAAAGTCAGGCCGAGGTCCTTCCACTGAAATGCGTTAGCATGAAACGCTGCAAAACCACCGCGAGGTGATCGCTGCTGCCCGTCCCGCCAGCTCTAGGCCGGCTTAGCCCGTCTGTTGCCTTTCTTTAGCCGTGCCGGGCTGGCTAACTCCACACCAGAGCGTACGGCGTATGTTACCTGTAGGATACGGTAGAGAGCGCCCCTGAGTTTGCCCTCTGAGACCATCACCCAAGTGTTTCCTCGGGCTCAGCCCATGCAACTCCCTTCTTCTCTGTCCCTGTGTTTGGATAACTTCAGGGGATAATCTGGCAAATTCTGGGGAGCTGAGCCCGTTTGGATGTTGTTCACATCTGCTTCAAATGTGGGTAATTGTGTCTCCTGATCCAACAGCTCCATCATGTACGGCTGCGTTGCCTTGATGAAAGTCACGGGGCAGCTCGGCGGAGACTTCTACTTTACTGACTGCCTCCTGTTTGGCGCTATCGTATCAGCTACTGACCCAGGTATATTAAGTGGTTTTTTTTTTTCTTCCTACGTTTTGCTCTGTTTTGAGTTGTAGTAAAGAGAGGAAGAAAGGAGAGAACTGAAACTTGTCGAATTTCCCTCTTTCTGAATTTCAGAGTTTAAGTTTGCTTGTAACATTTTTAGAGATCAAAGTTGTCTCCGTTTTTGTTTTGATTCCTTCCAGTTAAGTGTAGTATACTTCCCAAACTTCCTTTTTCTTTGTCTTTGCTGTGAAGTCGTAGGCAGTCTCCTTCTTGCTTCGCTGGGTTTTAGGACAGGTCTGTTGTATTTCTGACATGCTGCACAAGCAGCTGGCGCGAAGTAAGACGTGTGATCGTGGGGAGGTTTTAGTTCCTGCCTATTAAAATTGCTGTCCTTCAGCTTGCATTTGGGTGGGATTTTGGAAGGTGTTAATCTAACTGAAAGTTGGTCTTAATAGAAAGTATCTTGAGGTCAGTAGTGACAGCTTTGTGAAACCAAACTATGAAAAATCTTGGCCTTGTTCAGCCAGATTTCAGTTAGTTCACAATTGCTTTTACATGGCAGCTGCTTATTGGCATGCTCCAGCTTCACCTGAAAGCACAGGAGCGCGAGAAGGCTTTTCCTTCCTCCCGCCTTGAACAGATCCTGAATTTCTTTCTTTGCAGCCTGGCTGCTGCATTTGAGAATAGTGTCGTGGGGCTTGGGGAGGTGGCAGCCTCGTCTGCCTCCTGACGTCAGAGCAGCTTTGGGAGATCTTTTCGAAAGCAGATATTGGTCGGTTTTTTTCATGGAAGGGGGAGACTGCATTCCTGGATGAGCCAAGTCTTTTGTCCTTTTAAAGGAAGTGCCCATGGTTGTCATTTCTGGATCAATTTGGACTCCTAACATGCTCATCCTGAGAATTAGTCATTCCCATTTCCAAAGGTGAAAGCATTGTGTATATGTGTGCGTGTGTATACATATATATATATATGTATATATTCAATAACGCTGCTGCGGAATATAAGCTTTTCTGCTGCAGCAGCCGCATCTATCTGTAAAGTGGAGCCCCGAGATGTGCGTTCCCAGTGGGTTCTTAATGAATTTTTTTTGTGTGTGTTTCCCTAAGATTTGCCAGGTATTGGGGTGCTGTTTAGTGCTGACATTTTTATTAAAAACAACCTTTAAAAAAAGAGCAAAAACGATTTCCCAGCTTCTCTGAGCATGTTTTGGGTTGGGGAGGGTGTTGAGGCTATCGGCCCCTCGGGGAGGCAGCCGTTCCCGCGTGCCTCGTACAGAGCCCGGAGACTGTGAGGTCTCGATGTCTTCCCCCAAAACGTAGCCGGGGAGCCGGTTGCTGCAGATGAGCCGTCGGGATCCCATCCCCTTTTCAGGCTTGGAAAGAGGAGCGGCGAGATTTCGCAGGTGAAAACGGAGCGAGAAACCCGGCCCCGCGTTGCAGCGGCGCGTGTCCGCCGGGA